GGGGGGGGGGGGGGGGGCTCTTGAGTGGAGGGAGGGGACCCTCAACAACTCATAGGACAATGAATCATGATAGAAGTGTTCAACTTTTTCTCCTTAGTTGACATAATCAGGTTGATCTAGATAATCAAGAGGAAAAGAGAAGTACTCTTAACAATTTTAGTCCTCTCCCACCATTTAAGAATGTAACTGAATACAAATTGCCCCTTCCAGTCTATCATAATGCCTCTGACCTTTGAAAATAAAGAACCTCCTCAAGGTTGACCAAAGTGAAATGGTTAGTTTTTCAGAATTTCTAAAATGGCAGAAGCCCCCCACCCCCACCCCACCTTAATTTCTCCTCTTTCGAATTTTCTTCATTTCTTCATCTCATTCCTTTTGCATAATGACAAACAAACAGGGGTCGAAAATAATGCAGCCTATTTTCCCATTTTTGCTTCAAAACTATCTTTTTCTTCTCATATCTTTTTCCCAATTATCTGTCACATATACCGGTTGAGAGTTAATTTGGTCCAACTGTGGTGTTCTCAGAGGGAGAAGTGAACATAGCACCAGTCCGTTCTTATCTTTAGTGAGAACAAACTAATAGTGTTGCTATTTCCAAGTACTCAGGAATATATATCAAGTAACAAGTAGGACTTACTCTGGAAAATTCATCACCTTTTAATAGTGTTATACTCATTCAGACATGACGTACGAGAGGGGACTAGATGTATGATATGCAAAAGTAACATCCAAAAGTTTTTCTCAAATCAGCACAGATCATGAAGCATATCTTAAAGCATCCAGTATACATGTCCCATTTTCTCTTCATTACATGGTCCAAGAGAATCATCTCATTACCAAATTAATAAAGCAGTTGCTAATTGGCTACCTCAGTGATGAATTTTCTAATATGAAAATTGATATCTTATCTGAAGAAACAATATCACTGCATTCAAGAAGCCAATATGAAGTAGACTTCTTCAAAAATGGACAAGAAATAGAAAAAATAAGCAAATCTAATGAGAATACAAGGGTACTTGTGGGCTGTGGCCAGGAGGGAAAAGAAAAGGCTTTATAAGAACTAAGGATATGTAGGCAAGATAGTCTACCTTCATACTCAAAGAAAAGACATCACTCACAAAGTAGAACATAGAGATTGTGGAATCATAAAGGTTTACTGAAGGCTCTTTTTCTCCCTCATCCAAGCACAAAGTCAGTATTAGTATTGTACTTACATACATGAAACAAATGTTGCTCTTGAGAGTTGCACAAATGCTAAAAGTTATGGGAAAGGCACTTATGATGCCTACCCGTGAGGGATATCTATGCAAATTTTATAAATTCATAAGGTCACCTTAAGAAGCGTACCTATAAGGGACAGGACAATTAAAACACATGCCCCCAACTCGATCGCTCTGCGGCTTCCCATTTTGGTAACAGCAATTGTGTGCACATTTTCAGTTAAAGTTGCAGATCCAGTTCCAGTGCCCCATAGACCAGCCAAGAGGCTACAAAGACCTTCAAGACCAATTCCTCGACTTAAAACACCTGGCGTTGGAGGTCTGGATGCAACCAACAATGATGATGCATGATATGACCCAACCTAAAAGTTGACAAAACGTTAGAAACCAAATGATAGTTCAACACCATAATATAAGAAGAAAAACGCATTCTGTATACCATCCAATATTTGAGAAGAGACATATTAAACCAAACAGTGTGGTAAAAGTGTTTCTTAAAAGGATGCCTGGTATAAATTATCTTAAGGGGTTTTCATGTAAAACTTTGCAAATGAAGTGCAACTTTCATTTTGTGCGGGTTCCAAAAGTCAATGCTACAAAGACCGGAAAGAATGTCCATGTGATTAACATCCATTTATCTTCAGAGCAGACCAAACTAGTAACCGCCAAAACACAACCTGTGACATATACTGGACCCAAAATTACTCTTAACATGTTATGTGAACATCATTCTAAGTTAAGCTGAATGCAGGCTCTACCATTTTGAAATTTCACCAGAACAAAGTTAGAAAGAGAAAGATAACTATAAAATAACCTGCGGGTTGCTGAAGTCCTTTTAGAATAGAGGATAAAGTGCATTGAAATAACAATGACAGTTTCATAGATATGTTTTTACCCAACTAAAACCAAACATAGCTAAGGGTGTTTTATTTTTTCAGTTCGTGAAAAGGTCACTGGCTGAGGCAAGGGAGAATATACCACAAGGCTGAATTAAGACAAGATGCGCGGATTTCATACAAGTCCGCACTGATAGTTGGATAGCTGTGGCTTCAGCTTCAGTAAAGGTCTTACTTTTCAAATGACCTTTCTGAAGAGTGGAATGCCTGGCTGACCAATATATTTTCCTCGAGTTGGCTCAAGGGACAGCGACTTAGATGAGTTGAGATTACACCACGTAACAGTCTATATAATGCTAGACAGCTCTTAATATTTAGCATCGGCTCGCAAGATGATACTACTGAAAGTAATTGTACTACCAACTCTACAACCAGTCCTTATGGTGTCAGTCTATGGAGATCAATCAGGAACTTGTGGTCAAAGTTCAGAAACAAATCTAGCTTCAAGATGAGCAATGGAATGCAAACTTCTTTCTGGGATGACACCTGGCTAGGCCAATGTCCTTTGAAACAGACTTTCCCAGACATTTATAGTCTGAACCAGTAACAAGGAGCAACTGTGGGAGATGTATGGTCAAACCAAGGATGGAACCTTAGCTATAGAAGATTATTCAATGACTGGGAGATCGTCAGGCTAACAGAATTCTACAACACCTTGGATCAATTCAAAGGGACATCCACTCCTGAAGATTGTATGTTCTGGCAAAGGGATAAGCAAGGTAAATTCTCAGTCAAGTCTGCCTACAAGGAATACAACACCTCTAATAATCAGATTGGAAGTTGGCCTTGGAAACTAATATGGAAAGTCAAAATTCCATACAAAGTTGCTTGCTTCACGTGGTTGCTAGCCAGAAAAGCAGTCTTAACTCAGGATAATCTTATCAAGAGGGCTTCCACCTATGCTCCAGATGCTACTTATGTGGAGAAGAGACAGAGACAATCAACCATCTTTTTTTGCACTGCAGGATAACAGAACAAATTTGGAGGATTTTCATTAACTTGAAAGGAATCATGTGGGTAATGCCAAGAAGTATTATTGAACTTCTAGAATGCTGGAACAGACTCAGTAGCTCCCCTAATCAGAAAGAGAGATGGAAGATTGTCCCAGCTTGCATTTGGTGGACTGTTTGGAAAGAGAGAAACCAAAGATGTTTTGAAGATAGACATAGTACTATCCAGAGGATGAAAATGCATTGTTTAGCTCTTTTTTATTTTTGGTGTAAGCAGGAGTACATGGAAGATCCAGAATCTTTTGTTGATGTTTTAGGATCCTTGTAAGGACTTGAGAATCTTCCTGTACCACCCTTTGTAATTATGGTTAATTATACCTGTTTTGATACAGTTAATAGATATGCAACAAATGTTACCTTCTCAAAAAAAATGATACTACTGAAAGTGCAATATTTTAGGAGTAACTTATTAACAAAGATAAGAAAAATTAAAATTCAACCGGGAAACAACTCACCGAATCCACGGATGAGATTATTGACACCACACACATTACTAGAGCCATTTTCCAGTGGAAGACAGGCGTACCCCATTGCAACGGATAAGGGAATCTAAACCATGGAGCTGATCTTAATGCGTGAGAAGTATCAACACGACAGTGCTTCATCCTAGAGATATTCTTTCTGCAGTGGTCGGATATTATATTTGATACTGGTATATTCACATCACAGCCTTTGTAGCTATATGCTCCCACTGAAGTCAGGAGAAAAGCGACAAGCCATGTTATTGCTAGACCCAATGGAACCTGCACATGAACATGAATGCACAGGTCAGAGGACGGCGAGCTAACAGAAAAAGAATAGAAGATAAAAATTAAACCACAGATTTACCGCGTAGATGAGAAACACACGATGACCAAGAACAGATATCTTACGAAGGTACTGCACCACAAGAAAAGATTTTCATAGAAGAAGTTAGACATCATGTACTTGCAAAAAAATGTTAATATGATATAGCCAGGCAGAAAAATAAAGGAAAATTATGTGAACAGAGTGAACAAATACAAGAAAGTGGCAGATAAGCTCAAAATCAGACATTTCAGTTGTCACATGATATGGGGAAAAATTTAAACAAGAACTTGTGGGAAACTTACAAGAGAGAATATAACGACCAACAATATCTGCACTGCACCAATTTCAAGACATGTACCAACTTGTGGGAATCCATAACTGTAGAAGGAAAGTCCAACAGCTGCAACAGTAGGAGCCACAACCACAGGATTGATCAACCTGGACCAGAAAAGGGCAAAAGAATGTTTGGATTTTGATGTGCACACTGTGCAACAATAAGAACATTGACCAAAGAACAGAAGCAGGATGCTTACAGTTAAAAATAAAAAACAGCCACTACGGAACAAATTTTAGACCTATACATAAAAATTCCAGAGAAAAACTGTAATGACAAAGGGTGGAGCAAAAGAAACAGAAGACTACATGTGAAGTAAAATTTNATATATAATATATATATTATATATAGGTACAAAAGGCTGTCAAAATAGATCTAATTAGCCAACTACATTTGCTTCAATTTCCCTACAAAAGCTTATGTATCCAATGTGTTTAACAAAAAGATTGGAATAAAGCAAGTGTGTGGATCCAGTGAGATTGCTTATATCGTTTTTTCTCCTTTTTCACGAGAAGATTCAACCGTTCAAGTAGCACATATCGAGGAAAATGAGTGAAGGTCGCTTGACATGGTTCGGTCATGTTTTGGGTCGACCTCCAGATGCATCGGTTTGTAGGCGTGAGATCATGGTGAACGAAGGTGTTAAAACATGGAAGGAAGTTGTCTTGAAGGACCTACAAATTCATGCAAGACTTGTCTTTCACTAAGCAAAAGATAGGGCCCAGTGAAAGAAAAAGATCTATATAGGCGATTTGAGAATACATTACAAACTTTAGCACTTTTACTATAGGTCTCATGCGTTCTACAAGTGGTTTAATCTTTGAAAGATTTGTACGTTTAGAAAATATACACAAATTCTAATATGTTTTATATTGAATTTGCATAATATTGGCATGAAATGATTTAAATGGAGAAACGTGGTAAGTGAGGATTCATATAGCTGGCCCAACTTGTTTGGGACTGAGGCGTAATTGTTGTTGTATCCTCTTTTTCTCCTCCTACTACTGTTCTGATGTCTTTAGTCTCATTTTCTTATGCACCAAATCACATTATGTCATTAGGGATCGTAAAACAGGAGGGAGGCAGAACTTACATATGGTCCCCAAATCCTCCAGATGCCATTTCTGTCAATAAAGCTTCTTCCTTATCCGGAAAAAAGAAATATGCAGCAGTTCATCGGGGCATAAAATCATTATTACTTTAACAGAACCTTTAACTTTTCGAAACTTGGACTACTTAATCTTTTCGTATGATAGTGGAACCACATTATTAATCATGGCACAGAGTTTCTAAAACCTTTATTAATGACAGCACACCATCAATAAGTACAAAATTGAGAATCAACTAAAAAATATGATAGTGGCAGTTCAATTAGCATGTCCAATTCAATTCAACCACTTTGCACCAAAGACTGTTATGGTCCTTGAGCTTTTAATATTTTGAACATTTCTATAACCAGAAAAATGTCTTTGGATCAGCTAATCCTCCTTCAGTTTTGAAACCAAGTAACATCACAACAATGTCATTCTTGTTTAGTTGTTTTTCAAGCTGCTGTCTTTTTTACAGTGTCTGTATGTAGGATTCAGGACTAAACAAGAATGATACAGGACCTGTCAAAATAAAATGGGCCCCTCCATAACCATGGTACACATATAATGGCTAAGAAGGTAGAAAAGATACGGGGGGAGGTGAAGGAATTACCTCCGCAGGAAATAGGCGGCTAGCCAATCTAAAATACTAGACCCGCTAAAGATGTTAAAAGAAGATGATTGTCACTCAGTTAACACCCAAAGGATCACTCTCGATTGTAGCCAATTAAAACTAAAGCTACATTTCCCCTAACATCATATAGCATCATAATACAGTCAAGATATTGCTATTTTCTTTTACTACTCATTTTTATTAAAATCCACATGAGGCTCCAGATATCAGCTGCATAACTAGGAAAGCATGAATCGGCAGCATAGCATGAGAACAGAGAAGAAAACATAAAAAATGTCGGCCAAGAATTTTTTACCTCAAAAATACTGACATCAGCCCACTGTATCCAAGCATTGCTTGAAAAGCTGAAGAAATTATTATAGCTCCCTGCAACTCCTTCATGATATGCTTGAAATTCTGCAGGTTGGAAACCTTCTTATTACAATGTTTTGACATAAATAACTACTTACAAGACAAAGTGAATGATCAATAATTAGTGCTACAGTTAAAGTCAGTGATGGGACAAGAATCAAAGCAAACGACCAAGGCTAGTTTAGCAAAGACTGAAAGCAAGAGAGATATGGAAAGCAAAAAATAAAAGTGAGAGAAATCAAACTCTGTCTAACAAGATGCTTTGCAGGTCAACAATGATTCATATTGGCTTCTTGAAGAAAAATAGAGTACTCATGTAAGATCCCTCTATTAAGGATGCCCATGAAAGCTGGTCTTCATGGAAAGTTGATAATTCCATTAGTAAAGTCTGGCAGATGATCCCTTCTGTATTTTGTGGTGTGTTTGGACAGAAAGGAATCGCAGATGTTTTGATGGGATATCAACTCCAACATACGCACTTAAGGCTAGATGTCTTTTATGGTTATATAGTTGGCAGAACTTAGCTCCTGTAAATTGTCCTATTAATCGTTTGGACTTCGTCGGCTCCTTAGCTTTAGCCTAGTTTTTGTCTGTAGAGCTGACTATTTATTTATGTATCTCTCTCTCTTTTGTACTTCTTGCATTTTTTTTTATGCCTTTAATGCAATTCTCTTACTTCATCAAAAAAAAAAAAAATTTCCCTTTTTTAAAAGGAAACTATCGTAAGAGCCACATCCAAAGAAATTAACATTGCTTGACTTATGAGGTACTTGAAGCCACACAGGTTATTGTATGACAATTCATTACAGACAGAAAAAGGTACGCTGCTAAAGGTCAATAAAGTGCACTATTTAGTAACTACAGTACTGAACCACAAATTCAACATTTAAAGCAGCATACTACATTTTAGGTGGAAGAGGAATGTTTTTGCTCCTCAATAAGATTTTGTGGGATGCCAGAACCACATATACACACGGACCCTTGTAAAATACTACTCAATAACATAGCAAAAAGGAGTGTTGAAACATACATTTCCATTCAATCCTAAGAACTCTGGGGAGTGAATTATTGCAAGTGCAGAAGCAAGATATACAAATGAAGGACCCTGTATTAGAGGCAATCTCGAGCCAAATGACGTGTGCAACAGCGTCGTCACTCCTGAGACAAAGAGCACAGTGGAGACGACATTTGATGTATCCTCCTATAAGTACTAACTTTTATCAGTTCACATCAGTTAAATAAACACAGAAATAAAACAAACTAATATTGTATTAAACGAAATAAGAACAAAAAATAAAGTACTCACATGGTCACCACCCATTGCTGGAACTATCACAAGCGGAATTAGTATCAACGATCCCAACATTGAAAGATAATGTTGAAATCCATAGAGTCCAATAGGAACTGCAACATATGAACACACATCAATAATCTCACAGTTAGACTAAAAGATTATATCTTTTCACACGAACAGGTGTATCTCATCTCGTATTTGACCTAATCACATTTAACAATATCCAATACTGCAGTTACATTCTCATTGCTCAAAAGAAGAGAAAATATCAAAAACACAAACAATTAGCAACTCATTATCCATCAACAAGCAATTCAGTGAAATATGCAACACAGCTTTTTCAATTAACTAAAAGATTAATCTTTGCAGATAAACGGGTGTAACTCATCTCAAATTCAACCTAATCACATTTAGCAAGACTCAATATTGCAGTTACATGCTCAAAACATAAAAAATACCAAAACACAAACACATAGCAACTCATCATCCTATTAACAAGCAATTCAATGAAACATTTGTAGCTTTTTCTGGATAAACTAACATACAACAGCTACTACTACGTCTCAATCCCAAACATGTGGGTTCGGCTATATCAATGTCCATGTAACTAACATATTCAACTAAAAATTCGGTGAAATTAGTTGGGGTCGACCATATGAATCATCAATGACCATGTAACTAACATATTCAAATAACAATTCAGTTGCAATGTAGGCTGCTGCGAGGTGTACTAGTCAAGGTGAGCGCAAGCTGGCCGGACACAACTGACACATATTCAAATAAAGATACTGAAGCATAAGGTCTCACCAAGACCAGGAGTATCCCTAAGCTCATACTTCATATGAGAATGCCTAGACACAAAACCATCATCATCATCAACTGTTTGTGGCAACGTATCCACAGCCTCTTCATTCCTCGAAGCTCTTCGAGCCGTCTGCTGAACCGTAGCAGCTGCAGCAGCTGGCTCAGCAGCAGTGGTAGTACCAGCTGCTTGTCCATTAGTACTCTTATTCACCGCACCCCCACCACCATCAGAGTCTCTCCTTTTCCTCACAGGCTTATCTTTTTCACTTGTAGGTTCCCCATTAGCTTTATCCTGTCTAGGAGGCCTAGCTCGACCCGCTTCAAGATCCAAATTCGGGTCGGACTCTCTCCTACGGGTTGGCTGAGAAGACTGTGGTTGTTGTAACCCAATTTGCCCAGAATCACTAGCATTGGTCTCACCAGAGAATTTGGGGCGAAACCCAGTCTTTTTAGCCCAAGAAGAAGGTGGCATTGCAGCAGATTCCGGTGCGGGTGGCCATGGACCGGGCCGTGGTTTCTTATTCGGGTCAGAGCTAGCCATTTTTTAGCCCTATGAATGCATAGCTTTTTAAACTACAAAACTAACCAAGAATAAGTTTTTAGTGAAATGGGTGTCTAAAACGTGAGTTGGATCTGATTTTTGTTAGGGTTTTTCAAGTGGGTCAGTTTGATAATTTCAAGAACAGCTAAAAAAACACGTAAAGCAATGAACTTTATTTTTTTGGGAGTATGAAATGGTAAGTTCACACAGTAGGGGTGTTAGTGTGTGAGAGAGAAAGGGGGAGTAGAGAAATGTGAGAGTGAGAATTGTAGTTCGCTGGAGCTAAGCTAGTAGGGGGGGAGGGAAGGGGGAAGGAAGAGTGAGAGTGACAGAAGACGACAATAGAGAGAGAGAGAGAAGCAAAAGAGGGAGGGGAGAATTAGAGACAACTAATAAGTGATAAAACGACGGCGTGTGGTTTGGTGGAGGGGGAACCGCGCTTCTTTTTGTTCTCACGAAATATGATGTCACCCCTTATCCCTTTCTTTTTTAACCATTTTTTTAAAGATTTGAATTATATAGGTATAGGACTACTATTAAAATGCAAATAATTTTGTCGTTACTTGTGTAATTTTACACTTGTGGTAGTATGAGAGATGGTTTTATACTCCGTTATAAATGTCATTGTAGTTATATAATTTGCCGATATATTTTGACATCCTACGGCTTCAGCAAGATGCTTAGCCCCATTCATCTTCGGGACAAGAATACTCGATCAGGAGTTAGTACGCACTCCCTCGAGCGTCGCTATTTCTAGGCAAACTTTCTCACTAGAAATAGGCCTTGCTTGGTGATCCGGGCTCTTTCTCTCTACACGATAAAACTAATCTCATAGTTCAAAAAATGTAATATTAATAAGTACTCCTACATACTAGTGATAAATAACCTTAAATAATTCACTAGCATTCTTTAAGCTAGCGTTTGGCCATAAATTCCCAAATTTATTTTGAAAAATCTGATTTAGGTGAAGTTTGGTTTGAAGATGGAAATATGTTTGAACATCAGTTTTCAAAATATATTTCACTTTTTTTTGAAAAAACATGAAACATGACTTACACCCACAAGTTCTATAAACTATCACAAATATCTAACAGTACATTCACCAATAACGGTCATTATCACTATAACAAGCCATAGTCCGGAACATAAATAAATTTAGTATAAAATTATCATTTTTATATTTAACTATATAATACACTATTAGATGACCGAGAAGACGAAGCAACATTGTTACAAAACTCTTTTATAAACTACAAAAGCATTATTACAAAATAAGAAATGGTGGATTCTGTTAAAAATGTAATAGTAATATTTTGAGCCAAAAAGAACTGGTTTTGGGTTTTGAAAATTTGTCGAAATATAGATAAAATTTATGAACAAACATGTATTTACCAAAAATAATCTGGAAAAAATTTAGCAAAATCCATGGCCAGATCCAAAGAAAATTTATTTACTAATAACAATGAGTTATCCAAACAGCTAAGTCAATGGAGCCATTTCAGGGATTGTATATGAACAATCTTACATCTGCAATGCTTTTTCTTTTTTGCTTTAATGAAAGAAATATTTTTTATTTGAATTATTTATCGGAACTAACAGTAATGGCGCTAGTCTCCTTTAATCAAGGCAATTAGAGTATTAGAAAATTACTGTAAAGCAGATATTGGAATATATCTTGGAAACTATTTGATACTAACATTTAATAGTTCACATGTTCTCATAATTATAGTATTAATTAAAAGAAGCACTAAATAATTTGCTTTCCATTTTTCGGTGATTTATTAGTAATAATAGCTAAGCCATTTATAGTCGAAGATCCACTAGATCATATTAAATGAAGGCACGGGTCTTGCAAAAGTAAACCAAAACAAGAAAAGGACAAAAACAAAATTTGCAAACTAAAAATAGGGAAAAAAGAAATGAGTAGTCTCTCTATCCTTAAATGATCGTCACATTTCCCTTGTTGACAGTAACTGAGATATTCTTTCACTAAGGTTAAATGATAAAAGGGTAGTCCGGTATACTAAGCTCCCGCTATGCACGGGGTTCGGGAAAGGGCTGTATGGGTCCATATTTGACCGACCTCGACCTATGACGAGCACGACAAACGATCAAGTACCTTCGAATCGGCGTATCAAGAAAGACGACCTTAGGCCGAAAGAAGAAACTGCACGCCCCCTATAGTAGTGTAATCCCATTAGGGGCCATTAAGAATATTCCGCCGAATATTCCCTATATTTGGTTGTTTACAATTCCAAAGGGTTTTTCTCTAGTATATAAGGGGGGGAAAAGACCTTGTAGGGGGGGGGGGGACTCGGAA